TTAAAATCTAAGTCCAAAATCTTACAAAAAATGCAAGGATTTTGCAAATCCACGCAGGATTGTCTCCTTCACCATCTCGCCCCAATCTTCCCCGGCGTCCATCTCGCCCCAATCTTCCCCGGCTAGTTTTCTCACCGGAACCCAATCTTCCCCGGCGTATCCTCCATCGTCACGCAGGATTATTTCGTGCCCCAATCTCGCCTAATCTCTTTCATCGTCACGCAGGATTGGACCTATTTTGAGCAGCATCACTTGAAATCGACGGCGACTCAACGTGGAGCAACGATGGCGGCGACTCGACGTGGTGACGGCGACCTTCGAAATAGCAGAGGGAAGGACGAAGATCGAAGAAGAGAGAGGGGCTAGGGTTTCTGGGGAGGAAGAAGGAAAAAAAGAAAAGAAAAGAAAAAGAAAAAAGGGAAGAAAAAATAGGAAGAACGGACGGAAGAAGCGGCTAGGGTTTCACGGGGAGGAAGAAAAAAAGAAAAAGAAAAAGAAAAAAGAAAAGAAAAAAAACAAAACAAAAAAGAAAAATATAATCCTTTAAAATCCTTTGATGGAATACACTCTGCGTAAACTTAAAACAATCCAATGAACTTACAGAATCTATGGATTCTAAATAATCTATCAAAATCTTTTAAAATCTAAATTGAATACACCCCCTAAATTAAAGAGCATAAAATTGAAAAGGAAAAAAGAATGCTCCCCTCACTGTTCTTCTTTGTTGAGCCGTGCAGAGATTCCCAGAACCGATCCATGACTTCCGTCGACTGCGCCGGACCAGTTGACACCGCCGCCGGACCACATGTCGCCGTCGCACCATCGCCGGACCTAGGGTCGGAACCCTAGGTCGGCACCTGCTCTGCTCCAATCTGTTCTCTCATTTCTCTATCCGTCTCCCCTTTTGCCGATCTGTTCCCATCTCTATTAATAGGGACAAGAGTTGTGTTTGGTTATCTATCCAAGAGTTCGAGTCCAACAGAGACTCGATCTCTGCTCTTTTCTTGACTTTCTTCCGAATATGTTCTTAGTTTTGCCGAGTATTCCTTTTCTTTCTATGGAGTATTCCCTTTCTTTTTTTGTATCCTTAAGTTTGGTGAGTTATAGACTTGGTCAATGGTCATAATGGGTAATGGTGTCGGCCCAACTCAATCTCCTTTCTTCCATTTAACTTCAACAATCCAATCTTGTAAATTGTAATATTCCTTTACTTTTCTTTGTACTAGGGGTCATGCTACACTTACACCACAAATTGTAACTCATTTATACACCACAGTTATACACAAACATTTTGATGATTTACATCGACACAAGTGTTTGTGCGTTAACAAAAATTTACACGGACACAAAGTGTCGGTGCATTAACAAAAATTAGTTTTACACCAACACAAAGTGTTGGTGCAAATCTGTGGGGTACAAATAGCTTTATCCTTGTACTAGTTCTCTAACCCACGGACAGTATTTTGGGCCACTGAAAGAAAATAAAAAATAAATTTATAATGTATATAAAGATAACGAAAAGAAATTATATTCAATATAAACATTAAAAGTATTATATACTAATGTTGAGGAATGCACCGTGAAGACAAAAAAACAGAATTAAAGGTTTTGAGTGAATAGCTGATGGCTATAAACCACCGAGAGTATGAAATAATATAAAGTTTTAGAGAGAGAGAGTGTGCGCAAAGTGGGAGTATATTGAATTCAAAATTCGGTCCCATTACAATGAGGGGTGCCACCCCTTTTATAGGGGGTAAAATACACTAAGTCAAAGCCCTCTGATCGAGGCCTGTCGTTTAGCGGACGTCACCTGTCCTTAGGTCTTGTCCCTTTCATCCTATCGCTTTCACCAAGTCCTCGTTGAACGTCGTTTTCCGCCCGTCTTGTCCCTTTCATCCTATCGCTTTCCTCAAGTCTCCGTTGAACGTCACTTTCCGCATGTCATTGTCGTGGGGCTCGGGCTCGGCTTGGTCGGCCGAGCAGGGAGGACGAGCAGAGCGCAGAGCCGGGCAGGAATGACGAGCGGAGCGCAGAGCCGGGCAGGAAGGACGAGCGGAGCGCAGAGCCGGGCAGGAAGGACGAGCGGAGCTTTGGGCCGGGCGGGAACGTCCAAGCCCGAAACTTAGGAAATTTATGCTGATGTCAGCCCCAGTGCTGGCGTGGGGTTATTCCCCATTAGAAGCCCCCCACTCTCCGGGTTCCGTGGCGTCTAGCAGCGGAGCGCGTGAGAGTAGAAAACACTGTGGACGGTCAGCTCGTGGGCCCACGCGTAGCTTGGCGGATTGGCGGCGACGTTTGGAGTCCCCCACGAACGGTTGTGGCGCTTCGCTTCTCCCAAGTGGCGGCCCATCGTGACACATGTTCGGCCCATCACTATTCGGGCCCGATTTTAGTATAAATAATCCCCAAGGCTTTCTTCATTCTCACAAATTCTAGAGAGAGAAAATATTAGGGTTGTCGTTCTCTTGCCGTTCCGTGCCGCCGTTCGCTGCTCTCTGACCGTCTCTTCGGCGACACACTCGAGGCCAGTCCCTCTGTTCTGCTCATTCCATGTCTGTCGAGTCTTCCACTCTTCGTTCGTCCGAAGCCGAGCACGGGCTCGTGCTCGGCAGTCAGGGTTCCGTTCCCCAGGGCGGCCAAGCGGAGCAGCCAGGTTCCCCATCCATCGAGGAAATCGCGGCCGTAGAGGTGCCCGGGGAAACTGAGCCCCGCCTTCAGAAGTGCACATTGCTCGTGGACTCGCTCATCCGCGAGTGCAAGTGCGACTTGTCGAGTGACGAGTTCCTCAAGGCGGTGCGCTACGCCGGCCCCCTCGTGACCGTTCGTCGCCCAACTCCGGAGGAGTCGGTCTTCGACGCTCCTCCGGGCTACTTCGCCATCCATCTCAAGTCCCTTGAGAGCGGCTTCCGCTTCCCCTTGGAGTCCTTGGTCACTGAATTTTTCAAACACTTTGACTTCCTCCCGTGTCAATTGGTGCCGAACTCGCACCGGTACTTGGCGGGGTTCTTGATCCGCTGTCGGGAGGTGGGCGTGCGGGCCGACCTTGAGCGCCTACTGACCCTTTTCTGAGTGGCGAAGTCTTCCGGGTCGGATGGGGGTTCTTTTGCCGCCCTCTGCCAACGGCAAGAGAGACTTTTTAAAACAAAGAAGGAATCCAACAGGACTTGGAAGTCCAAGTTTGTCTTCGTTTCCGTGGGGTCAGCCTCCCCCTTCCGAGACACTCCCCTCAGCTCTTTTCGTAGACGATCCAAACCCTTTGCCTCTTCCAAGGCTATTGCTGATATGGACAAGTTGTGTTCGGGCGGCCCTTACGAACCCGGGGTCTTAGTGAATGACGAGGCTCTCTCCAAGTTTGGGTTCGTCTTCCATGACGAGGACGAGCCCAAGCGCCGGGTTGTCCAGAGTCAGCTTGAAGAAGGACCCTCAGGTTTCCCTCGTTCGCTTCCTTAGCGGGTTTGGGCTCCTTGTAGGGATTCGAACTAATATCTTATCTTCCTTGCAGGTGAAATCATGATCTCCGCGGCCGATCGGAAAAAGCTGTTTAAGTCTAAGGCGCGCGCGGAGTCCAGCCAAGAACGGCCGCCGCTCCCAACTCCCGCACTGTCTGCCGAGCATGCCCAGGCGAGGAAGAAGCGCAAGGAGGTGAGCTCCTCGGCGGAAGGGGCTTCGCGGAGCGGGGCGAGGTCTCCACCCTCGCGCTCGGTGGACTGCGGGAACCCGGCCTTCGTGAAGGTGGCGTTCCCCCTCAAACCTTCGTTCTTGCATGGGGACTATGAGCCTCGCCGTTTTCTACAGAGCTTCATCCCTCCGCCCGACCGAATGGAGATAAGTTCGGCCACCACGCAGGACCTCGCCTCCACTCTCTTGCTCGAGTTGGGCTCGGTAAGCATTCTTCGCTCAGGTATGGCGTGCGTTTCTGCCCGACACTTATGAATTCTAACAAATTTTGCCGGAATTTCACTGCTGTTGTAGGTGGCCATGCGCGCCCCAAAGCTGGTGGAGCGCTTTGAGTGGTATGTGGCGGAGAAGGCCAAAGGTGAAGAGGAGATTCGGAGGCTACAGGAGCACGTGGCTGGCCTCGAGGGGAAGCTCGCTGATGCGGAGGAGCGGGTCCGGGCCGCGGAGCAGGCACGCGCTGCTGCCGAGGAGGAAGCGCGCCGTCTTGATGGGGAGGCCGAGCATGTAATTGAGGCCTTTCAGACCTCCCCTGTGTTCGAGGAGGCGGCTCTCTCCCGCATGGATGATCTCTTGAAGATCTGGGCTCAAACTCCGGCCGGCCAGCGTCTCCTTTTCAAAGAAGGGAAAGCCAACTATTCCCTAGGGCTGCAACGGGCTCAAGAGGTTCTGCTCGAGCGGATCCAAAAGGGGAAAGAACTCCCGAAGCCATGCGAGAACCCTGAGGAGTTTGACTCATCCATCTACTACTCTGAGGACGAGGACGCCAATGGCGGGGGCGAGGACACCGCCGGTAACTGAACGCAGCTGGGCCCACCGATGAACTCCACCCTTAGTTTTTTTTTCCTTTGATGTAATGTTTCTGCGCTCGAACAATGTATTTTGCACCGCGCAACTATCACCCTTGACTCTTCGTGGTTTGTGATGCCTATCGTTTTGCTTCGTCTTTAATTGTATTTCCGCGATTGTTTTGGAGGCCGAACGGCCGCTGCCGGGGCGCTTGCCCATACGGGACCACGCCCACGC